TCCCTACACGACGCTCTTCCGATCTCCCCAAAACCCCAAAACCCCAAGCGTTGAGAATAATGAGTCACATGCAATATTTTTTATTGACGTAATATAATAAATTATTCATTAAAGCCCTATTGGTTAATTGATGATTTATTGATTCTGAATTTGAGTTAAGTCTTGATAATGTATGTTAAACAAATATGTGTTATTTCATAAATTTAGACTTTCAGAAGCCTCCTTAAACTTTTTACAAATATTCTAATCCCTTTTTGAAGTCTTCAATCTGTAAAACCATAGCTTTGTTTCTCTAAAGGGATTTCAAACTATGGTTTACTATAAAGTGATTAGTAAGGAATCTGAAAGCTGCCCAGTTATTTAAAAAGTTAAATCGGGTCAGGGTAAATTAATATAAACTCGAGTTGATCATGTCAATAATTTTCTTTGTTCTGTGATCTTCAAACAATGCCAGCATTTTCTTTGGGTAGAACATCGATCCTAGAAAGAATATAAGTTCTTCCCTGAAATCTTAATTATTGTAACTCTCCCCTTCTAAGGATACTTTATTAATGTCTAACTTCTACTCAATAAATGATTTTATAGCCACTATATAATATTTCTAATGTCTATATCTTTGCACTCTGAGGTACCTTGTCTCTTTCTGGAATTACTACAAGTATACTTTCCTAATCTCTCTTATAATAGTTTTTAGTAATACATCTGTTCGGTCGCAATTTTATAGTGAAATTTAAGGTTTTATTTTTTTTCCCTTTACTAGCAATTAAGTGAGCCTGTTGAAGTACTTGCATATTATAATAACATTTAATGAGGCCACATCGACATTTTCTAGATCTGCCTCTACTCTCTTTCGATTACTTCTTTGCTTTTTTTACTCTTATAAATTAGTAATCCCCTCTTCATCTTCATCGAGACTTGCTTCTTTTGAATCTTAAGATTCTTAGTTATTATTACTTTGATTTTAATCAGCTTCACTGAAGGTCTGTTCATCTTTTGTTTGCTGCTCATTGAAAGGAGTCATTATAATATTTTAAACGGGATCCTATATTGCATATTGGTGCTCAGCGTTAATTCTTCCTTGGATCTAGCTCATATAATCGTAATCATTGAGTTTTGCATCATGAAATTGATAAAGAAGTTTATTTCCTTATATAAAAGGAGAAATAGTCACAAATTTTAGGTCTTCCTAAAAGTAGTGGAATTTTGAAAACTCATCTGATCTGAAGTAATCAGAAATTTCATGATTCCTATTTTTAGGTGAGAGTTGATGATCATTTAAATATTCTTCGTGAGTGAATGCTTAATTTAGATACATTTCTATTTGCATCTCAATAGATTAATGGTCATCTACTTAATACATAGCAAACACCTGCTTAATAATTTCTGATTATTTTATTTTTTATAGGTAAATGTTTCACTAATATCCTGATAAATATCAAAAGAAGGCTATCTCTATTTTTCACTAAACTTTGTTATTCTGAGTCACGGGGTTTTGGGGTTTTGGGGTTTTGGGGTTTTGGGG